TTCTCCTATACAGGGGAAAAGCTTTGGCCAGGTCCATAGCAGCTATGTGCCAGGACCATGGTGATTCACTCCAGTGGAGATTTTTAAAAATCAACTTTAATTTTACATGTATGAGTTTTGCCTGCATGTATGTGTACATGATATGTGTGTTCGGTGCCCACTGAGGTCAGAACAGGAGTCAGATCTCCTGGAACTAGAGTTACAGACAATTGTGAGCCATGATGTGAATGCTGGGATATTAATCTGGGTCTTTTAAAAGTGCAGGAAGTGCTCTTAACTGCTGAGCCATCTCTCCCCCCTCCACCCCCCATGGAGATTTTACATGTTAAATCTTAGTTTCATTTTGGTTAATCCCCTGACATTGTTCAAGGTCAAATGCAGTCATCTCCTAAGACTCTAAGGTGTCTTATCAGATGTAGGAGTTTCTAGCCTTTTGGCCTCCCTGGGTGACAGTGAAAAAAGAAGTGTCTTGTGCCATATATTAAATACAAAGGTGGCCAACCAGCAACCCACAGGTTGTAAGAGCATACATGCATTTTTTTTGTATGATGTCATGCCACCATGAGCTATCCTGGGCTACATGTGAACTGAGGGCCATGGGTTGGACACTCCTCATAGACTGTGTAAATAAAGATGCAATAGATCTTATCATTTCTGAGTCTTTTAAAGTATCACTGTTAGCAGCAATTTCTGTGATTTGCTTCATATTGATACGATTTACTGCTTTGGTAACGAGGGAACATTCCAGACTCTTGTCCATTCTTTCTCATCATAACTAATCTTCACATGTCAGGTTAGTTAGCTAGTGTACGCATTCTGCTAGTTGCTAAGTATGTCTCTTCCCATTTCATATATGAGGTAAAGAACCAATCAGAGAGCTAGGCTGTAGACAATGCTGGAGTTGCTGAAATTCGAATTTTGGCCAACAGTCCATTTATCACTGGCCACCATAAGCTAAGAGACAAAAGCTGTAATTAGAAATGAAAGTATTGAATTGGAGGAGGGATTTGCTGAGGATTCTGGCAGGGAGATGGGAGAGGAAAAACTCATCCCATATTTAAAGTAAATTGCTCCTGAATGGAACACAAGAATTACAAGTTAAAGAATGTACAGTGGACAGGTAAAGACGGACTCAGAGTACAGCAGAGGTGGAGGAAGGCGAGGAGTTCTGATTCTCTGGAAATGGTGCCTGGCTCCAGCAAGGAGCCGGTGTAGCTGTCCTTGGGGCCACATAGGACAGGTGTCCCCAAATGACATTGTATTCCAGCCACACACTGCCCATGAGAAGGTTTGCAGAGAATGCAGGCAGGGGTAGTCACTAATGGGCACAGAGAGCTTGGAAGGACTCAGAGGGAGCAAGACTGTTCCAAGGGGAAAAGAATGAGGAAGAAGAGACCATAGCAGCACTGGGCGGGTGAAGTTCAGCAAGGAGAGTGAACCCTCCCCCCACTCCTTTCCTCTGGCTCTGTCCCTTCCCTTCCCACTATATTGCTTTGGTAGATAGAAGTTGTAGAAATGACTTATAAAATGGACTGAATCTGCACTAATGATTTTTAATTAGACTTAGCAAACTCACTGAACCATGAGCTTTTGTGACCTGTGCACCTGACCTTGATTCCTTGGCACTTCAATTTGCTGTTCCACCCAAAGATAATGGATGAATGTGAGTGTGCTTGAGAATGAAGATACCAAAGTGTGGAATGGCAACACATGCATCTTCACTGAAAACAATGAAGACTGAGAAGAATGCTTGACATTGTGTGTATGAGATATACTAGGCCTGGGGGCAAAAGGGCAAGATAGCTTGATAAGGGTGGATGGAAACTTATGGTTGCCCAACTGGAGCTGGAGAAATGGGTGAGGCCTGACTCCGGAGCACAGTCCCAGGACACAGCTGCAGAGCACAGTTCTACAACACAGTTTGAAGAGTCATCTCGGGGAACAGGTGTCCTCTGAGTTCAGGCACACTCTTAGAAACTAGAGTCAGGCTGTTCATTTTAGGCAAAATTGTGATGTTGCATGGTAACACTGCAGAAATAGCTTAAGGGAAGTCGGGAAGAAAGATTTGTGTGGGTTCACAGTTGAAGAGGGTATAGCCCACCCTGTCGGGAGGGAAGTGGGAGTGTACCACCAGGGCTTCTCACGCCGGGTCTTCTCGCCTCTAGGCTGACCAGGAAGTAGAGGACAGGGAAAGCTGGTACTCAGCTGGCTTTTTCATTTCTTCGATTTTCATTCAGCTCAGAACCCCAGCTTGTGAGGTTGTGCCACCCACACTCAGGGTGGGTTTTAACCCCTCAGTCCACCTTCTTTGGAAATGCCCCTACAGACATACAGAGGCGCTTTTTTACTAAGTGATTCTGCATCCCGTCAAGTTGACAGTGAAGACTAACCAATATGAAAAAGGCATAGTAGACACTGTCAATATTTGTTTTAGGTTTCTTTTCTTTTTTTTGAGACAGGAGTTCATGTAGCCCAGGCTGGCTTCTAACTCACTGTGTAGTGGAGGATGGCCTTGAACTCCTGCTCCTCCTGCTTGTTTCTCCCAAGTGCTGGTATTATAGACATGTACTACCATACTCAATATTTATTAAATTGATAAACTGACTTCATCCTTGGGCACACTGAGCAGTGTTAGCTGTAGGCAACCTGGCTGTATGCGCACTAGAGGCTTGGTGAGTTTGGTCAAGATGCACAGATGTGTGGCAGGAGGTCACATGAGAAGGCAAACATGAGAAGACTGTGTGTGTGTGTGTGTGTGTGTGTGTGTGTGTGTGTGTAGGGAGGTGAGCAGGAAGACTCCTGTGAGAGGAGAGGAAGAGTGCTAGGGTCAGGCCAGTACCTATGAATCACGCAGGTCAGTAGAGGAGACCCATGGGAGGGCTGGGAGTTTGGGCAACGGGCAAGCCGTGGGGAGAAGACATGCTGTAGAGGCAGCCAGGGGACAGAGAGCAATCTTGTTTATCACCTGTTTACTTTGGATTCTCTCTCAGAGTGTTGATTTTTTTTTTTTTTTTGGTCTTTTTGAGGCAGGTTCTCTCTGTAGCCCCAGCTGACCTGGAACTCACTATGTAGACCAGGCTGGCCTTGAATTCACAGAGATCCACCTGCCTCTGCCTCCCAAGTGCTGGGATTAAAGGTGTGCACCACCACGCCTGGCTCACCCAGTTTTTTAATATTAAAAAATTAATTTTTACTTTATGTGTATGAGTGTTGTGCCTGCATGTATGTAAGTGCACCTATGTCATGCAATGCCTGAGGAGGCCAAAAGAGGACATCCGATCGCCTGGAACTGGAGTTAAGGACAGTTGTTAACTGCCGTGTGGGTGCTGGGAACTGAACCAGGTCCTCTATAAGATCAGCCAATGCTCTTAACTGCTGAGTCATCTCTCCAGCCTCCTTATGTGTTCCTTTTTTTTTGGCTTTTTGAGACAGGGTCTCCCTGTAGTGGGGCTGGCCTGGAACTCACTATATAGAACAGACTGGCTTTCAAGTCACAGAGATCCACCTGCCTCTGCCTCCCAAGTGCTGGGACTACAGGCGTGCGCTAGCATGCCTGGCCCTTATGTGTTCTTAATGAGGCTCCAAATAATGGAAAGCAGAAAGGTGCACGTGTGGCTACATCTACTGACCAAGCCATAGAGAAACTAAGCATCAGGAACTCAATGCATTGCATGTGTGATGTGTGAAGCCTCCTTTGTTCAGTTTACTCAGGGGATTGGTGGATGTTCTCTGAGAAGTAAGGTTTGGGGTTGGGGATACAGCTCAGTGGTTGAGTGCTTGCTTGGCGTGCAGTATGTCTTAGCTTCAGTCCCCAGTACCTGAAAACCAAACAAGCATCGATGGGATGACCGAGGGCAACAGCATGGAGAGATGGACAGTGGTGCTGGGAAGACTCGGAATCATGGGCTCTGGCTCTTTATCCTTTAGAGGAGGGGGGCAAGAACTTAAGGAATGACCTGTGCCTTCCATAGAGGAGCAAACCTGGGAATTCCCATGACCTCGTAGAGCCTCCTAAGTACCCAGTTCTGGGTTGGAAACACCTGCATGTTGAGGTGGTTTGATGTAGTTAAAAGGCATGTATATTGGGACTGGGGAAATGGCTCAATGGGTTAAGTACAAGGACCTGAGTTCGAATTTCCAGAGTCCATGTAAAAGCCAGGCATGGTGGTGAGTGTCTATACTCCAGCACTAGGAATGAAGGGAAAACAGCAGATTTCTAGAGCTAGTCTAACTGAATTGATAAACTCCAGGTTCAGTGGGAGATCCTGTATAAAAAAATAAGGCAGGCAGCGATAAAGACAGACATCTGATGTTGACCTCTGGAATCTACATATGCATGCACGGATGCCCACTCTCACACCCACACCCACACATACACATGCAAACAACCCCACAAGTCCTCCTACACATACACACATGCACATACCCACCCACATACACATACATACATGTACACATGTACACCTGTACACAACCCCACACATACACATATACTCACACTCATGCACAAACCCACACACGTATGCATATGTACACACACATGACAAGTATCTTAAATTAACAGATGGAAAAATGCCATCTACCTTTGGATCTGTGCGCATAGTCTCCAGAAAGAATTGACGTTCAAGTGAGTGGCCTAGGGCTTCAAGTAAGTTTAATACTAATGGCCAATAAAAGGGCAAGCACCTGTGGCTCTGTTTTGAATCCTGAGCCCCTGTGCTCAGACATCTTTGTTTGCCCCGACTTGTCATCTGGAGAATGTGACTTTCCTTTGGCCGAAGGCAAGTGAAATCAGGGCATTGCTTTGTAACACATGGGTAGAGAAGTTAGCATGGCCTTACTCTTTCTTCCTATGTGGCGTTCCTAGCTTTGTCAGGCAGAGGCTGACTGTGCCTGACAGATTGGCAGGAACCTCATGTCAACATGATTGGGACTGCTTCTGGAGACACCTGCTGTGGTTGGCTTACCGTGAGGGTATCTTTGCACTGTGCTCTTTGTAGGCTGGTGATGTACATTGAGAGAGACAGCAGAAAGACCTCTCCAGACAAGGAGCCGCCGAGTGGGAGCGAATACCTGTCCAGATGTCTGGATCTCCTCATCCATCACATCGTGCAGGAGCCGCCACTAATCCTGGGTAAGCTGAACTGCTTCCTCAGGCCTGTGGCTCCTTCTTCTTCTGCAGTGGCTGCTGGTGCCACCTCTTCATTCTCAGAGCTCTGTTCCTGCAGGCCAGCACAGTGACGTTTCTCTGAATGTATGGTTTGAAGATTTAGTAAATTTGCCTCTTCTGTTTTGATAATTCTTTTGCATCTATCACAGGATTGAGACTTGAGAAGGTTAACACTGAGGTGCTATCTGAGTGAAAAATAAAACAGGAATGGTGATGTGGTTCAGTTGGTAGAGTGCCAGCCTGGCATGTGGGAAGCCCTGGGCTCCATCTCCAGCACTGCATAATCTGAGAGGTGGCTCAGGCCTGTAATTCTAGCACTTGGGAGATGGAGGCAGGAGGATCAAGATTTCATGGTCATCCTTGGCTACATAATGAGCTGGAAGCCAGCCTGGGATACATAAGATACATAAGATCCTATTTAGAGAGAGGGGAGAAGGGAGGAAAAGAAGAAAAGAAAGAACTCAGTGTATTAGAGATGTGGTTCAGTTGGTAGAGCACTTGCCTAGCATGCAGGAGTCCCTGGATCCAACACTCAGCACCTCATAAACCAGACATGGTGGCCTAGGCCAATAATCCCAGCACTTGGGAGGTGTACACAGCAGAACCAGAAGTTTAAGTTATTCTTAGCTACTCAGTGAGTTTGAGACCAGCCTGGGTTACATGAGGCTTTGTCTTAAAAAGAAGAAAAAGAATCCAAACCAAACAATAATTGCTTAATATTGGGTTTGTATGGTCAGTTTGGGTAACTTTTCTTAAGATTTCTCTTTATCAGTATCAACACTTGATCTTAGTCAGAAGGCTGAGATGTGATCTGCTCATATCTGAAGAAATAGTTTTAACTTGAAATTATAGTTATAAATATATTTGTTGTTAAAAGAACTTTAAAATGTGTAGACTTTTTGTTGTTGTTTGAGACAGGGTCTTATGTAGCCTAGGTTGTGCTTAACCTGGCTATATACCTGAGGCTGGCCTCAAACATCTGACTCTCCTGCTGGCATCTTCCAAGTGTTGAGATTACAAGTACCATATCCAGAAAAAATATAGGTTTTAATTTATAAGTTAAAACATTAAAATTTCACCTAAAAATTTTGATAGTACTGATTTAAAGTTCAAATCTGAAAATTTACTTGGTTTGAAAATTTATCTTTTTGAGATAGGGTCTCCCTGTAGCCCCAGTTGGCCTGGAACTCACTATGTAGACCACTCTGGTCTTGAACTCACAGATATCCTTCTGCCTCTGCCTCTTCAGCTGGAATTAAAGGCATTCACCACCATACCAGGCCGAAAAATTATCCTTAATATAAAGATGTCTATTACATTGCCTTGTGTGGTAGCACATGCCTTTTATCCCAGCACTCAGGAGGCAGAGGCAGGCAGATCTCTGTGAGTTTGAGGCCAGCCTGGTTTACCTAGTGAGTTCCAGGACAGCAGGAGCTAGAGACCTTGTCTCAAAAAAAGACCCAAAAAAAAAAATGTCTATTACCACTTAAATCCCCAATTTTGTTTTCAGAAATTAAAACAATGTGGGGCTGGAGAGATGGCTCAGTGGTTAAGAGTGCTGGCTGCTCTTGTAGAGGACCCAGGTTCAATTCCCAGCATCCACATGTCTTTTATCAACTGTCTGTAACTCAAGTTCCAGGGGATCTGATGCCCTCTTCTGATGTCCATGGGCATTGCATGACATGGGTGCTCTTACATGCATACAGGCAATATGCTTATACACATACAATAAAATAAAAAGAATAAATAAAATGCTTTTAAAAAAGAAATTAGAACAGTATAAGGTGGGCACCCAGGAATGTTTGAATTCATTTCCAGCAAATGTAGCTCTAAACCATGTTAAATGTGACTCAGAATGTTGTAGTAACAATGCAGAGATGCAGAATATTCTAGTAATGATGGTCTCATCACAACCTGCCAGACACCATTTGTTCCTTAGTAGTAAGTAAGTTAGGAGACATTTTTGGCCTGATATTTGGAAAAAAGCATATCTTACAATTTGCTCAGTAAAAAACATTTGGAGGGGCTGGAGAGATGACTCAGTGGCTAAGAGCACTGGCTGCTCTTGCAGAGGACCTGGGTTTGGTTCCCAGTACCCGTGGTCTCATCACAACCTGCCAGACACCATTTGTTCCTTAGTAGTAAGTAAGTTAGGAGACATTTTTGGCCTGATATTTGGAAAAAAGCATATCTTACAATTTGCTCAGTAAAAAACATTTGGAGGGGCTGGAGAGATGACTCAGTGGCTAAGAGCACTGGCTGCTCTTGCAGAGGACTTGGGTTTGGTTCCCAGTACACACATGGCGGCTAACAACTCTGTGTAATGCCAATTCCAGGGGCATCCAATGCCCTCTTCTGAGCATGACACACGTACACTTACATACATGAAGGCAATTGTATTAGTTACTTTTCTGTTGCTGTGATAGAAACATTGACCAAAGCAACTTATAGAAGGAACAATTTATTTGAGCTCACAGTTCCAGGGGACTTACAGTCCAATTTGGCAGGGAGGCATGGTGGCAGAGGTGGCTGGAGCAGGAGCAGGACCTAAGCTCTTATATCTTCAAGCCGGCAAAGGAAGCAGAGTATGACTGGAGAGTTAGCAAGGCTTAAGAACTCTCTAAGCCCATCCCCAGTGACGTGCTTCCTCCAGCATGGCCATACCTTCTAAGACCTCCCAAAACAGCATCACCAGCTGGAGACAAAATGTCCAAATACTGGGAGCGTATGGGGGACATTCTCATTCAAACCACCACAGCAATATACTCTTACACATAAAATAAGAAATAATGAATAAATATTTTTCAAAAAGTTTTGGAAATTGGGGCTGAAGAGATGGCTCACTGGTTACAAGCATGTACTACTCTTGCAGAGGAACAAAATTCTGTTCCCAGCACCCAAGTTGGGCAGCTCATAACTTCCTCTGACTCCAGCTCCATGGGCTCTACTGCCTTTTTCTGGCCTTTACTGTGCATGCATATGCACAGACTGGCACATAGAATGTATGGGCACACACACACATACACACATACACACACACACACACACACACACACACACAAAATCTTAAAAGTTTGGGAAACTGATCTCTTTCCCCCATCCTGTTCTTTTATTTTTTTTTAAGTTGTGATCTATAATCTGTTCACTTGTAAATTTAAATTAGTTTTCTCAGGCTACTGAAACCATAAGCAGTCGTAGCTGAAATATGAATAATACAAAAAATTTCTAAAACTGCCATTGTCTCTATTTATGAATTCTCATTTTAAGTTTTAGATTACAGGTCAATTGTTAGCATCTATGCAGACTATCAGACTGTCTCCAGGGGCTGCAAGTGTGCTATATATTTATCAACATTTGTGGGACTGGGGATATGGCCTATCTAGCATGCAGAAGGTCCTGGGTTTAATCCTCAGCACTGCATAGAACCAGATGCAGTGGAACACATCTATAATCCCAGCACTCGGGAAGTAGAGGCAGAAGGCTCTCTGTTATACTGAGGCCAGCCCCACCTACATAGTGAGTTCCAGGCCAGCTGGGGCTACAAGGAGACTATCTCAAAAAATGAAAAAATAGAAAAGGACACAGCATCTACCTACTTCCTTAGGGTAGAAACCTCTACCCTACCACCTCTACCCTACCACCATACCACAGTGGTCTCTCACCTTTCTTGCCCCGAATGTTCTTCACAGGTGACATTCTCAATGCCCTGGCCAATGTATCTGGTCGCAAACACCCATCCACCGTGCAGGGAAAGCAGCTGAAGGTGTGCCTCCCCATGATGCCCGTGGTGCTGCACCTGGTCATGTCTCAGGTACTCACACCTGGAGAAAGCAGAAAAGTGTGGGCCCTCTCTGTGTCCCCTGGACCCCCACCTGTGTCTGCTGGATCTCATCAGTGTCCCCTGGACTCCATCTGTGTCCCCTGGACCTCACCTGTGTCCCCTGGAACCCATCTGTGTCCCCTGGACCTCACCTGTGTCCCCTGGACCTCATCTGTGCCTCCTGGACCTTTCCTGTGTCCCCTGGACCCGACTTGTTCCCTTGTACCCAGTCTGTGTCCCCTGGACCCTGTCTGTGTCCTCTGGGCCCCATTTCTGTCCCCTAGGCCCCACCTGTATCCCCTGGAACCTGTCTGTGTCCCCTAGGCTCCACCAGTGTCCCCTGGGCACCGCCTTTGTCCCCTGGGCCCCACCTGTGTTCCCTGGACCCCACCTGTGTTCCCTGGACCCTGCCTGAACCCCAGTTACCCCAGCAAAATGAAACACTTCTGCCTGTTTGTCTGGAACTGAAACTGCACATGGTTTTCAACATCTAATCTGCAGAAACTCTGGTCCCGCAGGTGTTTCGACCTCAAGTCGTGACAGAGGAGTTTCTGTTCAGCTATGGAACCATTCTTGTGAGTACCAGCCAACTTTTACACTCCTACTAAAATGGCACCGCTTCTACCATTTGTGGAATTGGATGCTAACAGGAGAGAATTAAAAATGCACAGTAGCATTTGTCTGTAGAGAAGTGACCTTTTTATGTTTTTATCTGTTGATTGTAATAAAATTTGACATTTGGGGAAAATACATTCTCTCCTGATAATGTATTTTGTTTGGAGGAAGGCCCAAATAGGGTAAATAAGTCCATGGAAACACTTTGATAGGTTTGGTGTTAAGCCTCAGGAGCACATTTGAAATGACACAGGAGAAAGCGGAGGGCTGAGAATGCATGCTGTTACTGACTTCGACTCCCACTGTCCAGCTGTGTACCTGTCCCTTGACTGTGGCATTTACCTGAGTTAGGCTCGGTTTAGTTCCGTCTTTCATTTAATTTTGATGACATGAATACCAAATAACTCTACTATCTTTCAATATACACAAAATCTTTCTGATTCTGCCATGGCTCACAAATAGTGCTATAGTGTGTGTTGTTGATAGAATGAGGAAAAAGTGGGACATATCCTTCAGCATCTCTGGCTATGTTGATATTTATAATAAACTCCAGAGGTTTAAAAGATGTCAGAGGCACTCAATTAAAATGAAGTAGTCGGTGCTAGAGAGATGGCTCATCGATTAAGAGCACTGACTGCTCTTGCAGAGGACCCAGGTTCGATTCCCAGTACCCACATGGCGGCTACGAACTGTCCTTAACTCCAGTTCCAGGAGAATCCGAAGCCCTCTTCTGACCTCCGTGGCATTGCACAACACAGGTGCACTCACATACATGCAGGTGTATTGCTACACTCATATACATAAAATAAAAATAATAAATAAAAAAATTTTAAATGAAGTAGTCATTTTAATTATATTGTTGTTTCAGAATAACAAATAGCTGCCACTCACAAGTGAGAAAATGGTTTTCTAGAAGGTTCCTCCTTGAGGAGAAGTCTGTTCTCAGAACAAATGTTGAGTAGAATGGCTGAGGTGGGAGTCACTGGGTGGGCTGTGTAGGAGGGATTCCTGGTGCTCATCTTTAACTTCACTGTTGTGCTTGAATCCTGCCTTCTAACAAGTGCCTGCTTTGCAGTGTTTTCCTGCACTCACAACCATTACCCTTGTTACCAATCACCCTCTTCAATTTAGTATTTTGTCTGCACTGTTAGCAAGACTGTGATTCCATAATGATCCTGCTACACATCAATGTCTGGAGTAGTCTTTGCCCTTGCAGTCTGTCTTGGATTATTTTGGCACAGTGTTTGGGTAAACATAATTGTGCTGTGTTTTTCTATGCTCTTCTTGCCCTCCTTCCCTCCCTTCCTCCCTCCCTCCCTTCCTCTCTCACTCCCTCTCTCCTTTCTTCCCTCACTCTATCTGTCCCTCCTTCCCTCCTTCCCACTTTCCCTTCTTCCCTTCCTCTTTCTCTTTCTGACCCCATCCTTTTCCCCTCCCTCTACCCCCTTTCCTTCCTCTCCACTAATCGATGAACAAGTCTATTCTGCTCTCTCTCTCTCTCTCTCTCTCTCTCTCTCTCTCTCTCTGTCTTCCTCCCTCACTAGCCTATTTCATGCCAGGACTTTACTCTGGGCAGCAAGCAAACTTTAGATTTCACAGGTATCCTCTGCAGACCTCAGGAGTTACAGGATTGCAGGTGCTTCAGGGATGGGCTTAGGTACCCCTTGAAGCACTGGGCTCAGAGAGAAAGAAGGTGGCCACACCGAGGAAGGGTGTCTTCTCTGTGCCAAGGCCTGAGAGCTCTTCCGTGGGCTTCTGTAGGGTCATCTTCATACAGGTATTTTTGAAGAATGGAAAGCAACTTGCTTGGTTCATTATGATAGTGAAAAAGCCCTTCATATATCTTTTTCCCAAGCATATGGAGTTTAGAAGTTCAGAAGAGGGCATTGGATCTGGAGCTGGAGTTACAGGTGGTTGTGAGCAGCCTGATGTGGGTGCTGGGAGCCAAACTCAAGTCCTCTGCAAGAACAATATATACTTTTAACTGCTGAGCCATCTCTCCAACCCCCCTGTGTATAGTATTTATATAAGCACATTTTGAAACTTTGATAGTAGTATTTGTAATATATGTATTTAATCTTTTCTATGAGTTATTTTATTAAGAATCAGAGGTGTTCTGGGCTTGGTGGTGTTTGCCTTTAATCCCAGCACTTGGGAGGCAGGTGGGTCTCTGAGTTTGAGGCCAGCCTGGTCTGCATAGCGAGTTCTAGGCCAGCAGAGCTATATAGGGAGACCCTGTCTAAAAGAAAAAAGAAGAAAGGTGCAATTTCAGGCAAAGTAGTAACTACCTAAGTTTTATTTCAAAGTCATTTCTAAACCTCCATATATTAAAAACCATTTTTTCTTTTCAGAGTCATATTAAGTCAGTGGACTCAGGAGAAACAAACATAGATGGAGCCATAGGTGAGTAGTGAGCAGGCCAGGGCATTTGCCAGTCATTCTGGATGTAGCTGGACTCCTGAGTAATGACTTCCTGTGGTCCTAGGGCTGACGGCATCAGAGGAGTTCATCAAGATCACCCTGTCAGCTTTTGAAGCAGTGATACAGTATCCAGTCTTGCTGAAAGACTACCGCTCTACGGTCAGTTTCCAAAAGTCCTTTTTCATTTACTTGGTGATCATGTGTATGTGTGCTGGGCTGATAGGGGTTCTTCACATGGATTAACCACTCAGGTCAGTGGAGATAGCCCTGGAAGACTGTGCCCCACTCTCCTTTCTCCTTCTTCCCTGATTGTTTATGGTAATCAATAGCACAGACCTCTGAGGAGGACTCTGCACACATTTGGGGTGGACAGTTCTTTGTGATGGGGCCTGGTCTAGGCCCTCAGCCTCCAGTTGGTGCTGGGATTATAGGCTTGGATCTCAGCATCTAGTTAGTGCTGGAATTGCACATCTGGGCATCAGCCTCCAATTAGTCCTGAGATTATGGGCCTGGGCCTTACCTTAGCCTCCAGTCAGTGCTGGGATCACAGGCCTGGGTCTCAGCCTCCAGTCAGTGATGAGATTACAGGCCTGGGCCTCCACCTCCCAGTACTGGGATGGCAGACCTGGACCTCAGCTATATTCTGAATGCCTTCATTTGTTGTCTTTTTCTGCCCTGTTATGCCCATTTGTCAGAAGTAGCCATTGAGTTTTAATTTTGGTTATTTTTCTTTGTAGTTCTGCCATAACTAGAAATTTTGCTTATCTTCTCCCCCATGCCCCCCCTCAAATCTATATTATGTATGCTAAGGAGGTGATTTGACTCTCAAAGTAAGACACCAGCTCTGTCACCAAGCCCTGCCCACACATTTTCTCAGAACACTGAGAATAGGTCGAGGACTTTAATTCCAGGGACACCCTTCTCAAACCACCTTCTCAGCCCAGGCCCCTGTGTCAGGCAATTCACCAACTGCCTGTGCTGGCAGCAGCTGGTCCCTCGAGGTTCCACAAGTCCTGTGTTTGGTTTGTTGGTGAATTCTTCTTGTCACAGTCTGTCCCATGGTCTGCCTCAGACTTCTATCCCCCACTGTCTTCAGACTTTAATAATTTCAGGATTTTGTTTTTTTGTATTTCACCTGCAGTTTTTTTTTTTTTCAGTAAGAGGGTTGGTCCCAAAACCCATCCACACCAGAACCAAGTGTTGGTCATGGTCATTTTATTCCAGCGAATTCCAGTCTTCAGCTGAGATATTACTTGCTGGGATGTTGCTTATTGATCCTATTGCTTAATGAACAATAACCTCATGGCTAATTTGTTAAGATCTAGTGTTTATAAATATCTGTATTGCATTTAAATAGAAATCTAATTAGTGTATTTTCTAATCACAAAACACAAGTGTGCCAATTATTGCAACTACAACCTCAATTATGATAGAAAAGTCTTCATTGCAGTTCACTACTTCATAAAAACCACTTCCTAATGCTGCAGCTCATGGGAGATCTTCTAATTATCTCTTCTTGGGCATGACTGGAATACATGAGGAAGGAGACTCACACCCCAGGGAACATGAGATTGTTTTAGATTTCAGCACATACTGTGTTCAAGGCTCCTGATCGATACCTGGTATGTGGAAGTGGCTAACTACATTAACTCTTGCTGAGCACAGAGCTAAATCAGATGTTTCTACAGGATGTCCAGGCCATTTTGTTCCATTGGGTCTCTGGGGCCAGCTCCACCCAGGATTGGCCTCTTGTGAATCACCTTACACTGAGTCGGGGGACCTGACTGAGGAGAGGCAGGGTCACACTCTCAGAATAAGACAAGACCAGATCAGCACACAGACTTACTCTCTGAAGATTGGAACATGTTTCCCCATTAGAAATCCTCAATAGTTTGTAGCGTGTGATGGTTAGTTTTAATTGCCAACTTGAAACAGTGCAGAATCACCTTGGAAGGGAGTTTCATGGGGAGATTGTCCAGATCAGACTACTTCGTGGACCTGTCTGTAGGGCACTGTCTTGGGTAACTGATATGGGAAAACCCAGCCCCCTGTGGGCGGTACCACTTCCTGGGTTTGGGTCCTGGAATGCATAAAAACGGTGAAAGTGAGCTGGGCACCAGCATTAATTTACTTCTTTCTGCTTGTGGGTATGATGTGACCCACTGCTTCAAGTTCCTGCCTTGACTTCCCCACAGTGATGGACTTGTGAGCTAAAATGCAGTCTCTCTTAAGCTGTGCTAGTCAGGACTCAGGGCTTCTGTGTTCATTCCACTCTCTCTGCCACTTCCTCTGGAGGGGCTCTGCCCCCCAAAGATCCACAACCTCCAAAGCATCTCCACCAACTGGTGCCACCAAACACCTGAGCCCGTGGGAGGCACTTTTCTTTCAAACCACAAAGGCAAGGAAGAGTAAATGTTTCACATCATTCGCTTTTACTAGTGAACATAAACACAGGTCATAACTCTAGGAAATATTCTTTTCCATAAGTTGTAAGATTTTTGCTTTTTATTTGTGAAAGAAAACTTGCATATGGTTATAGGATTTTTATGATTCAAAGCTGCTTTGTAACATATTCAACATTTCTTAATGAAAAACATAAAAACAAAGCACCACTTGGGCATTAACACTTCATTTAGAGCAGATGCTATGAGACTTAGCAATGCAAGTGTTAGATAGTTCAGATGCACGTGTTGTTGTTTAGCCCAAGTATACAGAGCCATCTACAGGATCCCTGGGTCAGGACACTCATGTCATGTGGGACATTAGCACTGGGGATCATTAGCAGCACTGATGTGCATGTGTGCATATGTGTGCACATGTGGGTGCATACACACACAATGGGATTGCTAATTTTTGAATAGAAGAGAGTGGATTTTCCATTTTCAAAAAGAGTTGAATGGATCTCAGTTTTTAAGACATGTCCTCAAACAAATTTAACTGAATGCCTTTAAGAAGCCAGTAGACTAATATAATGAATTAAAAGCCCTTGGATTCTACCCTGGGGGTGGAGTGTGCTGGCTGTTGTACTAAGTGAGGAGGGAGGGCTCTGATGGAAGCAGGCACTGATGTAAGCAGGTGCTAGTACAGGGCAGCATGGTTAGGATTGCAGTGGTCTGTATTTTAACAGGGTGTACTTTAATGAATTCTGTAGAAGATTCTGGAAAGACAGAGCATTAATGAGAAGATCCTCTGCTCCTGCTGCAACAAAAGTGTGAATCTGTGTCTCACACTGTTCTGATAAAGACCTTGTAGCAGTGAGCAGAGCCATGCCACCGTGAAGGGCTCTAGCATATTCTCTGTCATGTACTATGTCCTTGTGATTTTCTCACTGTCGCTCAGATGGATTTGACAAAAAGAATATTTGGGTTTTTTTTTTCATAAGACCATCTTGTTGGCCTAAACTTGAACCCATAACCCTCTTGCCTCAGCCTCCTAAGTGATGGACTTATAGACAGAGCCACCATGCTTAGCTGGGTTCCTTGTTGCCCTTCGGTGTTGGGTTAGGTTCACCCTGCTAATGTGACCTCTCAGAGTACAGAATGAACTTCAGCTTGAGTTGGACTCCATGATGGTTCTCAAACCAAGACACATCTGCAGCATGGTTTTCACTGGCGAGACTTTTAACTCCCTCTTTTTGTGGATAAGACACTGGGTTTTAAATTTCTCTAGGCCCATGAGCACTTCACCACAATTTTAGACAAAACTCACTGAATGTTGAAGGGAAAATTTTTTTTAAAAAGTATTTTTAAAAATATGTTTGGACAGAGGATGTGTCAGATATTAAACTGATAAGAACAGATAGTCCACTTGTTCTTAGCCAAAAAGCCGAGAAGCAATTTGATTACCTCCAAGAGCTTGAAAGTAAGATCCTATTGCTGAAGACAGGACATACTTCGTACACAGGGCTTGTATTAGTGGAGCTGGAACTGACATGGAAGCCTCCTCCCTGAAAACTAGCTCTCATAGTTTTGGAGAATACTATGCAAGCTGCTAATGGAGAACATCAATTGGTGGTCCAACCCCAGCTTTAAGGCCTAATAATCACATCAGTGACCGGCACAGCAAACAATATTGGGGTAGTAGTGGCACTTTTACCTTGGGAGTAATCAACAGCTACCTAATTGAACTTAAAGCCTTCTCAATGGGTGGAAACTCATTTTTGATACTGTAAACATAGCTAAATACATGTGGCTGGAGAGATCTTAGATCTTCGAGAAAACCCCAAGGCTGTCACATTCCTAGACAAATGTAATTTCTATGGATCCTTGTATTTATAGATAAGTATACCTACCATCACCACTCATCAAAGAAGCTTCTTTTGCAATAGATGGAGACTTTTTACAAAGTTCCACAACTGGTCACACACAGAGATGAAGTATCTGTGAGATGCCCAACCCTAAGTGATACATCTACAACAAAACCTCTGCATCCAAGGCTCATGGAACATAGTGGAATAAGGGGTAACAAGAATACTAATGCATCTCTCAACTCTCATTAACAAAACTCCCTCATACAACCGAGGGCAGTGAACACAAAGGGCCACAAATAACCAAAGTGTAGAGAATAAGAGTCTGCAGAGTTGTGGATCTTGGACAGGACTCTCCTGTTAAACTTCACCCACCCAGTGCTCAGGGACCATTGTGGAAGAGAGGGCAGAAAGACTGTAAGAGCCATGGGAGGAGAAGGTATATAACCACATGGATACAGAGTCTTACAGGATCCTGGGACCTTGCACATATGAACTTACAGGAATGGTGACAGCATGCACAAGATCCATGCAAACACAAGCAGACAAAAACCCAGCATAGAACTGTGGAAATAGGCTGCAGGCTCCAATCTTAGCAGAAGAACCATTGGGCAGCTGGTTGCTGGGTGAGGTAGAGCTGATCTTTAAGGGAGCGACTCTAGATAGGCTGACTATACCCCAGTGGATGAACATGCACTGAAGGATGTCAGAGGATACTAACTTGACATGATAGGCTTTAACATAAATGACAGAATGCATGAAATCTAGTGGGGAGACTATGGGAGGGTGCTCATGGGGAAGAGGGTATCAAGATGATTAGGATGTTGTGTATGAGATATACAAAAATTCAATAAAGTTTTTTAAAGGATTTACCATAAGGTATAAAGATTAAGTTTTAAAATTAAATAAAAAA